GACAATGACTGAAATGTTTAAAGAAGCTGAAAGACAGCAGGTTTGAAATTGAAATGGGATATTTTTCAATCTGCTGAAAATTAGACTGTGAAACTCAATGCAATGCATGAGAAAATTTTTAAGATTAGTAATTCAAGAAAAAAAGCTATTTGAAGTGTGTATGAATAAAAAGACTAAACAGTGCTATACAACCAAATGCTAAGAAGAGTGAAAGAAAATTGGCACGGATATTATACTTCCAACCTGTGAGTTTAAGCCAATCTCTGGTTCTTACTGAATGAAATAAAATCTTCCAAGTAGGGGGGCAAGTTATGCCCCACCTTTTCATGACCCCTTCTGAGACGTATCCAATATTGTTCTCTTACCTAAGGTTTAATCTTTTTCCTCTCTAGGCTTTATGTAACCTCAGCTCAATCACCTACTGCTCTAAACAAGATATTTATTTGGACTGCAAGGAAAACAGACATCCTTTGCCAATAGCCCCAAAATTGTTGTCACTGTTGCTCAGTCTCACCACACATTTGCCGTAGGAAGATTCATGAACAAAATTCTCTCCGTTTTCAATTGACAAATTCATAATTTTTTTACCTCATTAGAGTCTTTGTTTTTTCCAGGCAGTTCCACACAAATTTTTTTTTCTTTTGCGAATGGGGCAAACATTTACTGTGCTTCTGTACTGTTACACAACTTCTACTTTAGTCCCTTTACACAACTTCTATTTTAGGAACATTTTACTGACTTTTCTTCCAATAGCCTTTGATGGCTATTTGCTTGTTTTATTCTTTATTGGTGATCTCCCTTAGGTGTCTTTCAAATTACCCACTTCCTCTCACATTTAAATTAAGCAAAATTCTAGAAGGTTCCCAAAAGATCAATGTACATCCTTCCTCCTTCATTTCTTATCTGAGCTCCTGGTCTAACATAACAATAGTTTTCAGACTTCATCTCTACAATGCTTTCAGGAACAAGCTTCCTAGGACATACTTATATATGTAACTTTCTACTATATTATACAGTTTATTACTACTCCATCAAATACCTTATTGATAATATAATTTGTTAAAACTATGCATAGAGCTAATTTCTATGAAAATTACCCTCACTCTTCCCAAAATAAAAAGGAACGCCTGAGTTAAATTTACAGTGCCCCAAACAGACAATTCTTTCCAACGGAGAAACCATAGTAAGTGTTTATCAACAGAGGCATGGGATGAACACCTGGTGTGGTGCAACTGCATGCAGCCCAGTACATTAAATTTGCCCACTTGGCTCTTGTGATGGCTGGCTTGGAACAACCTATATCTGTGTGAGATAACAATCGATTTTAGCCTTCAAAATAAGACAGCTGTAAGAACACCATCTGTGGGGAATTGTTTCTGGAGTGCTGTACCGCCACACCGCAGCGACGAATGGTTTGGCAGGAGCACTCAGCCACTGCAACACACAAATTCCACATCACAGGACTTTCTGCACCTTCTCCACATATATTTCTTCCTGAAAAGTCACTATAGTCACTATAAATCTGCACCAGGGAGGAGCAAGCCTAGGTCTACGGACAGGCTGGCAATAAGGTGCTGGAAAGCAGTGCCGGGACCCCAGAGAATGGCTGGAGCTGTGTCAGGGAAGGTTCAGGTTGGATCTCAGGAAAAGGTTCTTCCCCCAGAAGGTGGTGGGACACTAAACAGGCCCCACAGGGCAGTGGTCATGTCCCCAAAGCTGCCAGAGCTCAAGAATTGTTTGGACAATGCTCTCAGGGGCAGGGTGGGATTGTTGGGGTGTCCTGTGCAGGGCTAGGAGTTGGACTTGATAATTCTTTGAGTCCCTTCCAGTTCAGGAGATTCAATGATTCTATGGTTTGACTTTGCTGGTAGAGCTGAAGCTGTAGATGATGCATCATGTCAACTGATTGAAATATTATGGCCACTGGCCTTTCCAGTTAAAAGCAACTCTTATGAATAGTTGGGATGATGCCTCAATACACAATCAAAATGTGAGTGGGTGCTCTGCCACATGGCCTCCACCTGTGCAGTTTCCCAACACATTTATGTAGCAGATGTGAATATCATAGGCCATCTATGATGTGGTGGTAGGAAGCAGAGAACTCAGTACAAACATTGGGAACGGGTTGTTTACATTATTAAATGTGTTTGATTAATAACCTTTATTCTTGGAGTGCAAGACATTTAATTATGTCTGACAGAGTTAATGATCCTCAGAATATAAAACCACATGCAAATCAAACCACTAAATCTGAACTCTTTATTGTTTCAAACTTGAATTTTCCTAGTAGGATCTCTGTCATCTCAACTAGTAGAGTGTCAGCTAGCAATATATACTGTGACTAATGTTTCAATTTCCTCCTTTTTCCAGCTGGCTATCTCTGTCTGATAATCACAAGAATGCATATTGTATGTATCTTTCAGTGTTCTGGATTTATTTTTTATTTCCTCTGGAAAAAAATGTCCATTTCATTCTTCAGGGTATTACCATGGACTTTGTCTTGTTCTAAGCTGCTTTAATATAGAATCAGAGGATGTTTTGGGTTTGGGTTGTAAGACACTTTAAAGATTGTCTAGTTCCAACCTCCTGCCTAGGTTTCAAACCTGCCCAGGTTTTTACCTGAGGTAGACTTTCCTCTCCAAATCCTGGTTACTTTATAAGCCTTGAAATGGGAAGTTGTGGGTTTTTTTGCCACTGGATAATCAGTCTTTTCAGACAACCATTGCCAATTAATACCAATTTTGTATTAAATCAAGAATATGCAATCAGTGAAATTGCTAATAATATCTTTTACAACTCACATATTAATTATTTACGTGTGTAGGAGGTCAACAAATCTCAGAAATATTAACAGGATGTTTGTTGAAGTGAATAATAAAATAATAGCTTTGGGAATATGTCTCCTGCAAAATCAATCACCTACCTTAATTGATTTCACAACATAACACTAGATATGAAGAAATCCAAGATAAAAAACCTTGTTCAAGAGAATGATAATGTGATTTTTGGAATTCTTGATGTGTAGAAGAAGAGACGTGCCGTGCAATGAAGTAATTTTAATTTATCTTTTTATGATAAATTCGACAGACTTCTTACATGATTTACAGTGAGTTCAGAATTGAATTACCAAACTTTATGAAGCTGAGGAATTTGTATCAAAGGAATTCTGTGAATTGAGCTAAAGTGATATAACATAAAAGAGTCATATTAAGTCCACCACTGAAAATTCCATACTTCTCCCCGATTTTGAGAGCTCCTTGGTTGCTTCTCACAGCTCAGATCCTTAGGGAGCCTCTGAATACCTACAAAGTGCATCTGATTTATTACCAGATCTTAAATCAGATTTTCTGAAAAGGGCTGATTTTCATTGTCCCTCAAAGAGTAATTGTTCACATTAAACTTGTCTTCTCTCAAATTTCTTTAGCTGCCTCCATGGGTTCTGGTCTCCCCTCAGTGAGCTTGGATCAGTTGTGTGAGAGCTTTACTTTGTTCTGAAGCTGATATAAATACACTTTGCTGATTACCAGGATCATTTGCTAACTATTACATATCTCAATATTTTTGAAAGAATACTGGTGACCCAGGAAACAACTATGATAAAATCACTCCAAAATATTTTCATGAGATTAACTCAGTGGAACTGCCTACATTACCTATGTAATTAACTGAGAGAGTGACCAAAGTTAATGAAATTGAATGTCTTTGGGGACACTTTCCATTGGGTATTTAAGGGACATAACGAGCATTAAGTAGTTAGTTGAGCTGGACTGCATTAGTCCCTGACGCACCAAATTATAGACAAGTATCTAAATGGACCAATTAATTCAGATAAGCTGGATTCAGTACTTACTCACCCTGATCTGAATGAGTGAACTAATCTTTCACATGCAAATGGAATTGGATTCTTGAGTTTTACTTGAGTTTTTATCTTCTGAGTAATGGTTGGCTTCCAAATGCAGCAATAATTTGAGATTTTAAGAATTACGCTGCTCTTAGTTAAAGAACCAACTCATGCACAAAATAAACCCCCCAAAATTTGGCTCGTGAGTCTCTCCTTAGGCAAGCACCTGTTCTAAATGAGTTTTGCATATGGAAAAACTCCCAGGTTCTATTCAACTGACAGATAATGCAGGTTATATTTATAGGTTAGCATGTGACCTGATCAGTCACTTGCAGATGAACTCTCTTACTAACCGGTTTTGATCACTGGTGGGGTGGTGTGAGAAGCAGACTCTGTGGAAGCACTACCCAGTAGTAACTAAAACATTCCTGAATTAGCAATGCTGTTTCCAGTATAAATTCAAAACCCAACCCCACACCAGCTACTGTGAAGGAACTTAAGTCTGCTCCAGCCAAATCCAGCACACTCGAGATTTCTTTTCCTGTATGGTTGCTTTTCAGTTCTGTAGCTACACACTGTAAGTCTAGGATTCTCACCTAAAAACAAGAAATGCCCTTCAAATAAGTGGTAAGGATTAGAAAGAGATCCAGAAACTCTGTTGTAGACAGGATCAAATGTCATTCAATTTAAGCCTAGTGCTTCTATCTTTGAATTTAAATGTTGTGAGTTAAAACATTTCTTAATAAATTATAAAGACATAGGTAAAGAAAGATCTAGAAGATCTATTTATTCAGAAATTTCTTTTCAGTATTTCTTTCCTCTTTTTGTCTAGCATTAATCAAAGCAAACTCACAAACAATACTGAGATAAGAGATCTCTACTATTTCAAATATGCTTTTCCATTAAATCCATGTAAAATGTGTTTACTTTGTTGTTACTGTGCTCTAAAGTATGCATAGCAAATTACACACTGTTGTGTCCAGCAGGTAGGTAGGTCCTTTTCTGAAGGTAGCATTAGTATTTAGTGGTATTAGCTGACTCACAATATAAAGGGTAAAGTTTGATATACTTCAGAAAATCAGATTACATGTTAATACTTAACAGACAATAAAAAAGTTCCTATCTATAAATACAATAAAATTTACCATGTGGAACTTACTGTGCTGGCAGTGAATCCCATTAAATCCCTCTGGACATTTACAAACATATCCTATGAATGTGTCGCCTCGGTATGCTTCACTAATTTCACATATCCCACCATTATGACATGGATTAGGAATGCAGGGTCCTGAGAGAGGGGGGAATAAAAAAGAGAAAAATGTATACACACATAGTAACAAGTATAATAATTTCAGTCATTTATAAGCATTCATTAAAGAAATAAAATGCCTTATGGATGGCTTTATATTCCATCATCATCATCATCATCATTCCACTAACCCAGTTAAAACACACCCTTCACTTACTTCAGATAACTTGCCAGCACAGATTTTTATGAACAAGAAAAAATATGAAGCATATTATTACTCATTAATCACAGCATTATTTTTTAATGTAAGAGAAGACAGGAGATAGAGAAGTTAAATCTTGCTCTCCTATTAAAGATAGAGGGCATTCTACACCACTGAAGAAATAGGTATTAATCAAACATGCTTATCATGTACAGAGTGATATGTACAATGTCCCTGAATGATCGCTACATTGCAAGTTAGTAGTCTGAGGAGATTTTTGCTATGGCTTTGGGTGACTTTCTGAATATGTGATGATCTGGGCCAGCACTTTGCAGCTACTAAACCAGCTATTCCTTTTCCACTGAGTGCTTTTGTAGCACATGCACATCAAGATGATTTCAAAAAGCTCTACTGACTAAATATTTTTTTCCCCCAACAAATCACATGCTAGGATACATAAAATTTCAGCAGTGAGATCTAATTTGTTAGGTTTACAATTACTACAACCTTAAATACCTTTAAATAACAGAATTTTTTGCCCTGAGGTCTAAAGTTTACTCATTTAACAGCACATGCTACAAGCTTTTTACATTTTATTATCTTATTAATACCACCTGCAATATGACTCTTACCAGGAGAAAACACTTGGCATTTTGGTGATTTTTTTTTTCCAATCTCATTTTAAAAAACTGGCAATCATTGATTAGAACGCCTCATGTACAAGTCTGTGTGTGAAAAGATTTGTGAATTCAATATAAAGTATATTTGCTACCTTTGCAATACACACAGAAAGATGGTACTCATTGCTTATTGAAATGCAATCTCATAATCATTCAACTGCATACTTATTAAAAAGAACAAAACAAAACCAAAACCCCAAAAAACCAGAAAAGAATTCTATGACATAATTTACTGAAAATCAGCACTAGGAATTACAGAATCACAGAGTCATGAAATCATTGAGATTGGAAGAGCCCTCCCAGCCCATCAAGTCCACCCTGTGCCTGATCCCCACCTTGTCACCCAGCTCAGAACACTGAGTGCAATGTCCAGTCATTCTTTTGACTCCTCCAGGGATGGTGACTCCACCATCTCTCTGGGCAGCCCTTTCCAATGCCTGACAGCCCTTTCCAGCAAGAAATTCCTCCCAGTGTCCAATCTGACCCTCCCCTGACAAAGCTTGAGGCCATTTCCCCTTGTCCTGTCCCTTGTTCCCTGGGAGCAGAGCCCAACCCTGCCCTGGTTCCACCCTCCTGTCAGGGAGTTGCAGAGAATGAGAAGGTCTCCCCTGAACCTCCTTTTCTCCAGGCTGAGCCCCTCCCAGCTCCATCAGCCGCTCCTGGTGCTCCAGACCCTTCCCCAGCTCTGTTCTCTTCCTTGGACACACTCCAATCCCTCAATGTCTCTCTTGTCTGAGGGGCCCAGAACTGCCCCCAGCACTCGAGGTGTGGCCCCAGCAGTGCCCAGCACAGGGACGGGCACTGCCCTGGGCCTGGGACACACCATGGCTGGGATAGCACAGGGACCATTGGCCTCTTGCCCACCTGGGCACAGCTGGATTCATGTCCAGCTGCTGTCACCAGCACCCCCAGGGCCTTTTCCAGCTTTCCAGCCCCTCTTTCCCTACCTGGAGTGTTCCATGGGGTTATTGTGACCCAACACTTCATCATATTGAACCAATGAATGATTGAATTGAGTGATTTAAACCTAAAAGAGCTGTAAGTTTAGTGTTTCTGAAGGTCTGCTGATTAGTTCATGTTTTCAGTTACAAATTGTGGGCTGAGAGATGTTCATAGAAGCAGCATTCATCAAACATTACATTAGAGGAAACCACACTCTCCAAGAAAATATTAATTTGCAGAAGATAAAAATTAACTGAATGATGGCATATTCCCAAGTTATAATTGCCAATGTTGTTGCTGACATCCAGGTGCACATTTCTATTGCAAGTTATGTCATCAGCCAAGACACATCCCTGAAGAATTTATGCTTTGTTTACATCATTAAACACAGGATATGTCTCACTGAACTCAAAAAATAGGGGACACGAATATACAGCAGTTTATTCCAAATGCAGCTGGGAGTTAAAAAGGGCAAAAATCATGAAGATGAAAACAAGGACCCTGGCTGCTGCCTGTTTTGCCTTTCTCCATCCACATTCTGCATTACAATTTAAAAGTAATGGTACACTACATTCTTAATTCTAGACAACATATATCATCAGGTCTAGGAAGGCTTGGGTGTTTCAATTATCACTGCTTCTGTTCATGCTCTTTCTCCTTCAGAATATTTTGGGAAAAATCATATTCCATAACTTGTACTTTTGGTCTCCCAATGAATATAAACTGTGGGGTTTTTTCCAAGTCCCTATTGCAGTGCTGCAATTTGGGGAGTAGGTGCAGGTAACCTCATATATTAATAGTTTCTATGCAAGCAGATCTCTAATCTTCCAAGAACAACAAATCTTTTAATGATTACTTTTTCATTTTACTTGCTGCTTGTCCATATAGCTTGTTAAGTATGTGTTCAGCCTACTTCCATTGATTTTCTTTATATTTTGCATTTTCTCAGATCAGTCCAAAGTACAAAGGCTTAAAAGGTCATTTGAGGTGCACAGTAATAAGTATACTGGTGCATGACAGTATTTTTAACTAATGTTTGTCTTCTATGATGCCTTCCTTCTGGAAAAAAACCCCCACAGTAAGAATATGGACTTTTTTCCCCCTAATTATGGTTGTTATTTGGTTATAGATAAATAATAACATTATTTTCAATGTTAATGTTAAGTATTTTGCTTTAGGTATTTTTGTTTGCTTTTATTGTTGTTGTTAATAGAAACTGGTAGTTCAAAAATTATTTTTAGAGTAACAAAACATCCTCATTAAATGTACTGAAATTAATAAAAAACAATCACCTTTCACTAGTTAACATTCATTTATTAATAAGGACATGGGTTAGACTGATCTGTGTTCTAAAGTAATGATTGATTGAAAATTAAAAAGCTTGTATCATCCTACCTCGTTTCTCCTAATTCTCCAGAGAACTAGCCTCTCAGTTCACACATCTTCAGAATATTTAAATTGCATGAACACCCAAACATATGACTTTTTTTATTTATTTATTTTTTTTTTAACTGAGTGTACAAGATCCCTGATACAAGTTCTGTAGCTTTGACTGTCCTGAAGGATTTGGGCCCTAATCATGCCATTGTTCCATTTAAGACCCCAAAATGGTATGTAAGGTCTAGGTACAGCTTCCAGATATGAGGGGTTCCAGTTAGCTTCCATAGGGATATGTAGGTTTTTAAACAACATGGTATTGAGCGCAGTATAATTAATTGCCTCACCATCTGATTAATGTTTTCTCTTACTCAGGTCTATAGCAGCAAGTTCAAACCCATACTTTTTTTTTTTTTAAACAACAACCAAAAAGAAAAAACCAAAGCAACACAAAAAAACCAAGAACACAAAAAATCCCTCCAAATAAACCAAAAAAAAGAAGAATTCAAACCTGTCAAATAATTTTGAACAACAGTGGACTTCAGGGACTGGTTTTTTAAAATCAATAGTGTTGCAATACTTTTACAAGTAATCTTTAAGTGGCTTCCAACACAAAGAGAACAGCATTTGATCAATATTAATGAGCAGAGGAATTCAATGGTATGGTTTCCAGGCATTTTTATCTGTGTTCATATAAAATAATGTCAGCAAGATTAATTGTGAACTCAAAGTAATAGATCTATTCACTTTTGCTATTCTTTTCAGTACTTTGTTCATTTCCAGGGGTATTAGCCAACATAATAAGTGGAGTCCAAAATATATCATTTGCTTATTCAGTTGAAATCTCATGCTGTTTTTGAAAAAAATATTGAAAGTTAACTTACAACATAGCAGGTTTTAAATTTTAGATGTTCTCATCAAAAACCTCTGAGATTTTATAGATGCATGAATCAAAAAAATACATCCTCAATAGAGTTGCAAAGTGGTTTAAGACAGAATCATGTTATCTATTTTCTTCTCTGACGAGTACGGTCAACTGAAATTTCATAAGAAAATCTTGTATCATGCAATACTGAAATGCAAATTACATATTTGAGAGAAACCATTAGTTTTCTTTTAGCAAAAAAGCCAGGAAAGCAAAGAAACCAGTTCAGTGATAGTCATCTGTAAAATAACCCATTTCTCATGCTTCTAACAAATAGCATAAGCTTTTTTTTTCTTTTTTTGCTAAATATAAAATCTGCTGATGCTTTGAAGACATTCAAAAACACCAGGCAGTTTCAGAGGATGTCATTAAACAAGAAATCTACATCAATCACATCTTCTTCCCAGTGTTATTCCCCATAACTGAAAGTGAGCTAAAACAGGAAGGTGATCAAACATAAAAGCCTATCATTTCTTACTAAGTCAAGATTAAATGATGAATATGAAAAATATAAAGAGAGAAAAAAAAAGAAATATGTACTCCAATGGAGTAAAACATGCAAAATCACTACATTTTTTAAAAGTAAAATTAAAGACAGTGAAATAGAAATGTTAACACTTTTAATAGTATTTATCTATCCATTTTCTCTTCATATAGAAATAACGCAACTTTTATGAAAAATACTAAATTTGATATTGACCTTGATATACATCAAGATGAAGATACTGTTAACAATTGCTTCATTTATTTTGTGGAATACTACTGAAGTAGGACTAATAGGTAATGTTACTCTCATGATATAATAAGCTACAAATGCCATCAAAATAAATATTGGGAGTTATCATCAAACTAATAAAAAGTATCAAATTATTTTGGTTTTCATATTTAACAAAACCACTCTGTAGCTGCTTGC